TAACCGAAAACCTAATTTCTCAGACTTTTTCCAAATCACTTCTCTGTCGACTCTGTCGTCTCTGTCATGTTTTACTCTATCATTAAATGGTCTCAGGATGACAACCTGTCTGGAGCACAATGCCTAAAGCTCAGTGTAAGAAAGGATTGACTTGAACTCTTTGCAGCTCTTAACAAAAATGATAGTCCAGAAGAAGAAATAATATTTGTATCAAAAATACCTTAAAATCATCTCCAACTTTTAATTCAGTTATTACTAATCAAGTGGCTTTTAACCTTTAAAAGGATAAAGGCATTATCCTTATACTGATCTTAACCAGTTTAGTGGTGCAAAACATGCTTCCTGCAACATATGGCAATCACTGTCATTATGTAGTGTCTAGACCGTAAACATGATACTGTTGTTCATAGATCACTGACTGCCTGCAATGTCACTGTACTCATTAAAATCCCAATCCAAAATGTGGCCATTGCATTTCAAAAGGGTTTAATTCCCACTTTATTAGTGTTAGACTTTAGAATTTATTTATCCGGATGTCCAGCTGCCAAACTCCAGATGTCAGAACACCTGAACTAATGAAAATGTTGAGTCTCCTTGAGGTTAAAACCAGAGGTAAGGCTCAGAGCAAAGTGCTAAACAAGCAGCAATGACTGGTGCTTTAGTCATTTCTGTTATTTTTTCTCAGCCCTGAGTTCTGCTTTTCAGGCTGTAAAAAAAGGCTGTCAACTTGTTTATTTGAGGATATTTCTTAGGGCTCCTAATGTGTCTGCTTTGACATTGAATTCCTATATCAGTTTTGAAAATAAAGCTTTTCTCTCCAGTTAATGTTATGTGAAAAATTCAAGCTATGAACGCACAGTGATCTTTGAAGTTAATCAAAGTTATATGACACAACTTTAGAGGAAGCTAAACCAGCAGACGTGGTCATGCCTTTGATTTATGTTAACTGCTTTTCCCCATTTAATTGTTTCATTAATTGTTGAGTCCATCCATATCCAAAATTGTTGAAAAATGCTGATCACAATTGTCTCTGGCCCGAAGAGATGTCTTCGAAAGCAATATTCTTCCAAAAAAGATCAGACATTTTGCATTTCTTGTTTAGAGATCAGTAAATGACCAGAGGACTTGTTTTTCCTTTACACAAAATGTGACCACTTGTGTCCTTTAAAGACACAGATAAAAACTCCCCAAAATACCTTAAAGGTCACATATTTTCCTCCTTTTCAACAGGTTTAAATAAGTCTCAGAGCTCCCCAAAACATGTGTGTGAAGTTTCTTGTTCTAAATCCACTCTGATCATGTATTTGATCATGTCCATAAAACCCTCTATTTCAGTCCTGCTCAGAACAGACTGTTTCTGTGTCTGTACCTTTAAATGTAAATGAGCTGTGTATGACCACGCCCCTTTGCAAGGGCTCAGGCTTTCTTGCACCATGTCCAATTGTTTACGGTGAGAAGGCAGACTCAGAGGGCAGAACAAACACCTAGCTGTGGGAATGTCATCCACCTGGGGAGGGGCTACTGCCCTTTGTGATGTCATGAAGGGAAAATCTCCAAACGGCCTGTTTGAACACTTATTTTCTGTGTAGAAAAGTGTGGAGCAGGCAAAAGACAGAGAGGATGGACTTTTCTCTGAATTGGGGGGGATTTGTAGACCTTTGAGGAAAATGAACACACACACACACACACACACAGCCACAGGATTGTTTCTGAATCAGCATTTTAAACCCATCCAGAGCAGCCTAAGACAAAGGGTTGAGAGGACCACGGGTACATCCTATGTTTCTTAAATTGCATCCATGCATCCAACACTTGCGCCCTTTACTTGCGTCTTTGTCCCTCTCATTAGCGATGCATGGAAAGATGCAAGGATGTCAAGTGAAGGAGAGAGGGAACAAGGAAATCAGTCTAAAGAGACATGAGTCATTGCTCAAGAGAAGGTGCAGTAGTACCCTTCCTCTCAGAAAGGATCCTGAAGTAATGTCTAATGTGATTAGGACGTGACTGCCACCGCTGTACCAGATTTCTTGATAATGCCGTTTATCTGCTCTCTTGTTGCATCTAAGGTCAGAAGGTATCCAGAGGTGCAGTGATTGCATGGTGTTATCTTCACACATGAATTTTATGGATCATTAAGGGTACAGTGATCAAGAGTTGATGGCGTCGGGTTCAAGAATTGGTTGTATAAGCTGCTAAATTCAAGCATAGGAAGATAACTCAGACAACATGCACTTAAATGGAACTAAGAAACTTTTTATCACTTCTAACTTTAAACATTTCTTTGTCGTATTGTTATCATATCTGCTGGAAGAGTCATTCTTCATGCTTCTTGATAACTATGTGCCTTTAGGGAATCTTATCTTATGCAGCTTGTAGAGCATGCAATCTTTTTTATCTTCCTCGTATCCCGCATAGGCTATAACACTCACACACACATTAGTACAAATATTTAGCTGCGATATGATTCTCTTTAAACTCCTATTCAGTTCATTTTCGAGGCATCATCATATCAGATCAATTGAGCATATCATTACTATTGTTTCCATCAATTGTAGATGTAGGGTTTCTTTTAATTGGGAACACATTTGCACCTGAGGGCGTACACTCAACTGGGTGACATCTCCAATGCAATCATTCCCAGCATCTGATGTGTCCTTCATAGGGGAGAAACCACACCAACAATCATATCCTTTAGTTCCCACAAAGCTGTGTTAATAGCCCCCAAAACTATAACATTTTCCAGTGTGCTGCTGTTCAGCTTAAATTAGAGCACAGTGAGAACGCAGAGTGCAGTGCAGACACATTGACTGATGAACAGTCATAAAGTGTGGGAGTCTGTGGGTGTTGCTCTAAAGTATAGAGGATGGACAATGTTTGAGATTAAAAGGAAGTGCATTCACATGACACTTTGTTGCATTGCCACTCCCCACAGAAACAAAGGGAGTTAAGGTTATTTAGCCCCCAACAAAAAAGACATATGTGTTTATGCGGAAATCAAACCAACAAAAATAAAAAATATTCAAAATACCATGAATATCAAAAGTCTATTCTCAAAGCAACATTAGTTATTGGCCATCAGAAAAAAGTTTAAGATTTTAACACAAGAAGGACAAATGTCCTTAATGATGCACTCACTCCTGCAGTGTTTCACACTTTCAGCCACACACTGTATGGCTGAAAACCTGCAGAGTGTTCGTCAGCTGACGTGGTGTCATCGTTGATCTAGTTGCTGTTAAGCTGCGTTGACACCTGCACTAATCCATTGGACATGGAGTCAGAGGAATGCAATCTAGCACAGCCAGACGAGCTCCCCACTTTTATCAAGGTGAGGACAGTGACGCTGGAGAATGTGATGAGGTGCAAAATACTGGAGCAGGGGAGGGCAGCAGATATGAGCGTCGCTGGACACTTTGCTACTCTTAACGCTCAGAACACCAGTCAATGATCGTCTAAAAAAACACTACAAGCTGTATGGATATCCAAAGTAAGGCCAAAAAATCCTATTAACGGTGCAACGAATTTACAATTGTATAGACAGCAGCAATCATGAGAGGTTGTTTTTTTTGCCAGGACTGCTCGTGACGTACCAGGGGGAAAAATTTCCTTTTCTAAAGGGATAAACAAATAATTGCAAAGCTAATTGTGACTAAATTTGCCATAACATGGTGTATGATTAGATATGTAATAAATCTTGGATTGGAAACATAATGTTTCTAAATCAAATATCAGATCATTTTGGATTCATTTTGAAAAAAAGCCTACGAGCACATCAACCTGACATCATTTTGCCTCCCTGAAACAGAGAGGGCTTTTATTTAAGATAAACATTTTTACACAGAATTAATAGAAATCATTTGAATTTAGAATAAAAAAACATTCTAACAACCTAATTTACTTGGATACATCGTTTGGATTAACAAGAAGCACCTCTTAAATACAATATTTGACTCTGTCCTGTAAACATGTCCCATCCTTTATTAAACATTTCTCCAGTGTGGAGTCATCAATCTGCCAATGGCACATTAACCACCCATTTTCTCCCCTGTCTATGCCAGTATCCTCTTTACTGATAATGGGAAAAGATTATGCACATTCATTACCATTATCATCAAAATCATCATTATCACGCGCTTAGCATAATAACAGCGCTCAACTGATTCAATTCTCCGGCTCTTTTTCCCCCCACTTGTTTCGGGACGACACTGAAGCTTCTCTGGGAAGAATAAAACATCTTTTGTCAATGTCTCTTTGTTGTTTCATTGCAGTGTATTTCACCTGACTTTTAAGTACTTCATGGTCAATCGAAGAAGCAAAGCATTAACAAAAAAAAAAAAGACTGCTTTTGGAGTGGCATTCAGTGACAAAAAAATATAATTCAGCCTTAAAAGTATAGAAAACTACTGAGAGTATTTATGTTTCTAAAACGCCTTTTCTACTTGCTTCATCTGATATCAGAGGTTTTATTCATTTTTACATGATTTATCTTTCCAGTATGTGCTTGACTTGCTTTGTATAAAAGTCAGGCAGCCTTTAGCCCCAAGCAGCTGAGTTAGTAACTGCTTTTTCAGCATGATCGGTGACTTTCTCTCATGTTAATTAAGTAGTAATCAGGTGCGAGGTGAGCACTGCTGACGGTGACTGTTGTGCCTTGAAATCCTTAGGGGGACAAACAATGTAATTGGGAAAAAGAATATTACTCTAGGATCACCTGAGGTCAAAATCCCCAAAAAACACAGATCCACCAACAGATAAATCACAAATGATGGACTCTCGGTGCCTGTCCTTGTGCGACAGTATTCTCCCAAGATCTATTAGACGCTGCTTTCTGCATACAGGAGACAACAAGTACTTTCCTAATGAACTCATTTCACATCTCTAAACAAGTGTCTTCTCTCTGCTTTTATCTATGTAACAGCACAATACAGACACACAGGTACAGGAACACACTCATACATCACTCAAAGGTAAAAAAAAGAAGTGTAACTTGAGTTCTTCCTTACCTGTGTCTGTGACGTAGAAAATTCACTCAGAGTCCTCCTTCTGCGTCTTAATGAGGGTTTGGCAGCTCAGCTGGTATCCTTAGGCTAAGGGTTTCAACAACTGAACGCATGCCTCCTCTGAGGCTTCTTATAATGGCAACACCCCTTCCCTCCTGGCTCAACCCTCCAGATCTCTCCCCCCCTCCCTCCTCCTGTATATCACCATTCACATCATAGAGGAGAGCAAGAGAGAGGGTGGATTCCCCCATTCTGTTACGCACAAACCCTCCGAACAGAGGCACACAAAGCGTGGCCCGCAATGACGTAGGAGGCATCGCCTACGCCACCAGCTTCGTCTTCATCGAGCCAACTAATGGGGCTCTAAAAATATGCATCATCCACCGGGAGATTGATCCAGAATTCCTATGTCTAAGGTGTCCATAAAACCCTCGACCTCAAGAGCGACCTGCTACCAAGGTCAAGAAGACAATAACGCCTCAAATGAGATTTTTAACTCAAGAAGTGTATGTTGTGTACAATGGAGGAAAGCAGTGCCATGGAGAAGATCATCGATATGGGTTCTCAGTGCAAAAAACAAGCCTTTTTTGATGGTGGTTATGACACACCTGAGTAAGAGACTTTTTTCTTCTCAGCAAATGAAAGACTGAACACTATAGAGCAAATACCCAGCCCGAGTCTGCTGCAGGGATGTTAGCATGAGTCATGCATGAAATTCGGGGAAGAAAACAAGACCTGCCTCAAGGTCCTGAGAGCTTTCTCTGTCGGAAACATCCGATGATAGATATTGAGTGTTTATTAGCGTTGATGACATGATGGTAGCTTCATGGAAATATGTTATTTACCTCTAGCACTCACTCATTCACACAGCAGGAATGGAAGGTGCTTGCTTGCCCACTTTGGCTTCACTGTCTTAACTGAAGGACATTTCAGAAACTGTTTCCCACTAAAAGAAGTTTATACTGCTAAGGTGAACTCCAACTGCTTTTTATTAGTATGAGCTCATCTCGCTTGGAACCTTGACCAAGGTACCAAAAGTAGAACGAGGAAATATCCAAACCATTGGCTTCCAGTTGAGCCAAGTCAAGTCGTACCATTCATGGAAATGTTGGTAACAAAATGGTTCATTTAGGAGAATAACTAGAAAAAACCTTTGCACATCCATTTCATAAGACAGGTGCGTAGGAGATCAATGTGTCCATCAAAAACTTGAAGGTAAACTCTGGCACACTGTCTAACTTAAAAACTAAATTCATTGAACCAAGCCAAGCATTTATGGAAATATTGCTGACAAAATGGTTCATTTAGGAGCCAAAGAATCAACATGTTTCCCTTTTGAAGTTAATTTAGACAAAAAAAAAAACATTTCTAAAGTCAGTGAATATTCGAGCTTCTTCAAGGTGTACAACACATGATTAACCAATCAGATTTGTTCGATCCAGTTTCTCAAACACCATAAAATCCACAATTCAAACCATATGATACATTAAAAAGAACGTAACGTAATTTTCATGAAAACATGTGTACACCTTCAGAGAGAACAAAAAAAAGAGTCAAATATAAAACCAAATCAAATCATGTAAAAGTGCAGAAATGGAATCCACCAACTATAGGTCATCTTCTTTTCTATCAAGGTTATTTTTAATGAAACGTTCATTTATACTGGGTGATTTTAGAATAATTGTTGCATCAACTTATTTTATTTTTTATTATTTGTCATTATGTTGATGTCTATTTCAGGTTGCTTTTAATGAATACATTAGAGCGATCAGGGTGTGTTTTAATCGGCACGATGAAGCAGCTTTTATTTGTTCAATGTCTGAGATTTTTCCCTCCTCTCCTGATTTTTTTTGTTGCAGCCGGGCTTATCCTAATTTTGCATGAGACTGGGCAACAAACCCACAATAAAAGAGCTTTTTTATTGTCTTCTTTAACTCTGCGCAACAGCTTTGTTGGTGTAAAATGAATAAAAGAACTGCAAAATGACAAAGCAGAGAAACCCATGCTCACTCTTCTATACAAAGCAAGGCTAACTTGGTGAATGCAGCAAAAAAGAAATGTGTTGATTTTCTTAACTTTCTTCATTTAAAATATATTTTATATCACACTGGATGAGGAGAACATTAACACATCAATTATACAATTCAAAACTGTGAGTAAATAAGCAGCTCTTTGCTAAAAAAATAAGTACTGTATCTTATAACTTAAAAGATAACATTATTGTTTTGTTGTATGTTTCTACGTTTCACATTTCAACTTTGGCTGTGTCTGAAATCGCTCAATATTCACTATATAGTGCACTTTATGGTGAATAAACCAAAAGTAGTGTACAACCGATGGTCACATTCCAAGTCATTTACACCATCATGCATTGAGGTTCAAAGATTTATTGTGAGCAGAAAGCAGCATTTGACTCGACTGCTCTCAAGAGGAGTGGTCAGAGTCAACACAGAAGAACAAAAATGTCATCTGAAGGTATTTGGGGGCAACTTATATCTAGAAGCTGTTTTAATAACATGTTAAGGATTTTCATACAAACGTTAGTTTGTCCTAATGATGACGACAGGCATGAGAGATTATAGTCTGTAAGCATAAATAAATTAGTTTTGGGGCGAAAATATGTGAAACCACCGAAGTTCATGCCATTATGTACCGTTATTTTTGATCCTCGGATGGAGTTAAGCTGCACGCCACTATACAATGATGTCACTGTTAGCGACTGTGAGTGAGCAAGTAGTGTCCGAAATGTTTTTTAATATTGGGTGCGGTGTCTGAGAAAAAATAGTTCATTATACGATATATGACTAGATATATTTTGCCTTTATTTACCTTTCACTTTTCCTGATGTTATATTTGAAAGGTGATCTTTTATAGACGTGTGGACATTTTGAATATTTGACCACACCTGCCATCATCATGCCTATCAGCCTATTGGTGTGCCCCCCCCCCCCCATTTATCACCTGAAGAAGAACCTCTGGTCGAAACATTGTGATTGTGATGAATTTAAACTTTTTGTGGCATTTGCGCAAGTGTGCAGAGGTCTATATTCTTCTTCTCAAGTGTCTAAGAAACCATTCGTGTTTGTAGAAAATATTGTTCCAGTCCATGTAGTCGATGAAAAGATATTTCATTGAGACTTTATAGGACCACGAATGTCTAGACAAAAGATTTTTGGGGAACTGGACCAAAAATTTGGACTGATAAACATGAACATCGGACAGAGCCATTTCTAAAATGTAGCTAAAGTCTTGGCTGGAGGCTTATACAGTATATGTGCTTATAGAGTAGATGACAATGTCTCTATTAATAGCAATAACCAAAACCCGACTCGTTTGGTCTTGAAGTTAAACTTGAAATTCAGCTCCCTCCTCCTCTTCCTCAAAGCTGACTTTAGCTTTAGCTCCCTGCAAACATGTGGATGCTGGCGTTGAACCTGTGTGAGGTCTGATAGTGATGGATGAATTGGGTACATAGACAGAGCACTCGGTGTGGCTGAGATAAGGAGCCCAAAAGAACAAGCAGCCGTTGAGAGGCCTGTCTGTCATTGATATCGCTGTTATCCACTGGCTGTCCAGGGGTTCACAAGCTTCCTCCGGTGGCCAAGTGGCTGTGATTACCTTGATGACATAAAAGGTCACGCTTAACTTGGCGCCACATCGCATCAAAAACCGTGTAAGCCTGGATTAGGTATGGATGATTTATACATTTTCCTGTGGATGTCATGAGCTCATATGAAGCCAGTAAAATCCAAGAGAACACCTGTTTGGTCCCAAACGTTTGGATAATTGATTGTAAAATGTAAAGTCTCAAAGTGAAGTATCAAACATTATAATGAACTATTCAATGAACTAAACATTTTGAGTCATCTTCAAAAAATATGTATTCAGTAATTCTCCACAAGGATTAGAAGCACAAATAAACCTCAAGGGAAATATGTTTTTTGTTTTGAATCATTTCACATGGGCGCCTCTTAACGGGAAGGTCTGGGGGGTTCGATCCCCAGCTCCAGCATCTACATGTCAGATGTGTCCTTGGCCAAGACACTTAACCCCAATCTATTCCTGCTGCTCCATCAGCAGTGTATGAATGTGATTGGTTACTTCTGTTGGACACTTTACACAGCAGCCTCTGCCATACATCAATGCTGGAGAGGGTTTGTTTATTTTGATGTGATATAATAGAAGTGTATTGATTGGCATCAACTGAAACTTATTATTGGCCCTCCAACTCTTTCCTTTCCTGAGAATGTTGTATAAAATGCTTTAATAAGAAAGAATAGAGGTGTTTTTATATGCACCATTTAAAAATATGGAGAGAATGATAGCTGACATAAAGGTAGAACTTGTTTTCCAATCAGTACAAATGTATTATTTGTCCCCTGACAGCAGCATTTACTGAACTCTACCTTCCAATAAAGAGACAAAAAACTTAGCAGCATTTCCTTTTATTTGTATTGAAGTGATGTGGCATACCCAGCTCACTCCACTTTCTAGTTTTAATGGCTGTTGACTCAAGTTGGCCTTCCTTCCTTCACTCATATCTAAATTTAGATTTGTGTTTTAGTGGTTCTTAGGGATAAAAATGCTGATGTAGGCTGAAGGGCTCTTTTTGCCAAAAAGACAGAACTCAGGCAGCTGCAACGGAGACTGAGCGGTGTTTGGCTTGAGTCCGCTGTTCATCTCAAGCTGAACTCGTCTCCTCTCCATCTCATCCATCTGAGGCGTTTTACCATCTCCCTCCACAATGAAACCCAATAGTGTGTAACCAAGGACTGGAGGGAAGGGGGGTCTCTGAGGGTTTATGGCAGTTTGGGGCTTTTACCTGTCAATACACAAGTGACTGTTATTAACAGCAGGGCCGAAGATGAATTCAATACTGACAAATAATTGCATTTCCATCCCAAAAGTCACCATAAATATGCTCATGAAATCTGCGGCGTCAACCACCAAAGAACTGAGGAGAGCTTAATTTCAGAGGGTGAGCTCTCAGCGAGCCATAAGGCAATATTTCAAATCTGTGTTTATTGATTCATATTACAAATGTCCAGATATTTTCCCTTCAGTGCCAGCTGCAGATACCAAGGGCAATCTAAAAGAGACACTGTACTGCAATTCTCAGCAAACCTGAAATATCAGGTGCAGGTACCCCACCAGGTTTTTGAAATCTGACATCTGTATCTTTTGTTTTTTTTAAATCTGCTTTTTATTTTTGGTGCATCATTTTGAATAAAGTGTAAAATAAAATAAGATAAGATATCTTTATTGTCAAAATACTGTTGGAGCAAACCTGTAGATGCCTAAAAGAGAGTAGATAAACCTGCCAATATACAGAATATACAAATACTTAAAAATAAAAATAAAACAATACAGTTAAAAATAGTACAACTATGTTTTCTAAGTTTTTTAGGTAGTAAAGTATTGAACAAATAATTAGTATCTCTTTATTGTATCAGTACTGTTATAATGTAAGCATTTTGACTTTCTCCACTGGTACCTGCATCTCCCTCTATCCCACTTTCCAAGCCCAACACAGTCTCAGCAGATGTCTGTTCATCATGAGTCTGGTTCTGCTCGAGGTGTCTGCCTCTTAAAGGACGTTTTTGTTCAACCCACTGTAACCTTGCTAAATGTTGCTGAGTGCTCATGATGGATCCATGTTTTGTAAAGTGTCTCGAGTTAACATCTGTTGTGAATTGGCGCAATACAAATTACGATTCAGTGATTGATAAATTGATCTGAGGGAGGAAGGTTAA